TGTGTGTGTGTGTTGTGTGTGTGTGTGTGTGTGTGTGTGTGTGTGTGTGGTGTGTGTGGTGTGTGTGTGTGTGTGTGGTTGTGTGTGTGTGTGTTGTGTGTGTGTGTGTGTGTGTGTGTGTGTGTGTGTGTGGTGTGTTGTGTGTGTTGTGTGTGTGTGTGTGTGGTGTGTGTGTGTGTGTGTGTGTGTGTGTGTTTGTGTGTGTGTGTGTTGTGTGTGGTGTGTGGTGTGTGTGTGTGTGTGTGGTGTGTGTTGTGTGTGTGTGTGGTGTGTGTGTGTGTGTGTGTGTGTGTGTGTGTGTGGTGTGTGTGTGTGTGTGTGTGTGTGTGTGTGTGTGTGTGTGTAGTAGTAGTAGTAGTAGTACTTCCACAAGTTGGATATTGCGTTTTTTCAAAGCGCGAACTCACTTTCTGCTTTAGTGTCTGATATGTCAGAATCAACGATGCAGAGAATAGACGAGCATATATGTTTTTGAAAGTAGCTCCGTGCATGGCTTTGGATAGCAAAAGGTTGTGTGTTGATGGAACTTGTGGGATAGCTTCCATTATTATGAGGTTGTTCCCCCCCCCCCCCCCCCCCCCCCCCCGGGTTATTATCGCGTTGCTTTTGAGGGATCATGAAATCACCAAATCAGGTACTTAGCTTCCGCTGTTTCTGACGGTTGAACCTAGTATTGAGGGAGCATTCAGGTATGTTGGAGTTTATTCGCACCTGAATGCTCTCCTGCCCGATATACTGTACTGTATCAGCACAAAACACCTGGACAGTTCCGACCACATAACGCCCGCACTTGTAAGCTCCAGAACAACACTTTACTGTACCGCAATGGACACCGAGGCCAACGTGGCCCACTAGCGACCGCTTTCCTCCTGGAGAGCAGTTGTCTTGTAACGGCATGTGCTCCATTTACTTGCAGGCCATGAGTCATGACCGGTTGGCGGATGTGTTCGGGGAAAAGTTCGTGATTGGACAACTCGCCGTCATGACCGACAAACGGCCACTTCCTCACCGTTTTCACCTAACGGCCTACCGACATCCCTGACGTGACATGTCAGGAGGGCGAACCAAATGGATATCAAAACTACCCATGGTGCCCAGGGTTGCACACGTACTTCAAATGTGCGAGGTTTGACTTTCAGGTAAACAGGAGCACCCAGCACAAGATGTCAAACCATTCTCGGTCTACCAGTTCGGTGCCAATTTGGGGACAGAACAGACGACGGTACTACAGACAGGAAAACCTCTCCTAAACCATGCCACCTATTCACATTTGACGGGTCTACGGAAATCAGAACATTGGGGAAAAAAAATCCCTGCCCACCTTGGGGCAACAGTGAAGAACGTGTGCGATGCGTCGTGATTGGTGAAGGCCGTGGGAGCAGCATTGCGCTGCACCCAGCATGAACCCTGCAGCAAAGCCACCAAACCAGCACACCTGCTGCAGCTCAGGTGGTCACCAACCGCGTCTCCTTTTCCAACCCAACCAACAACATTGGCCCCTCCCCAACCCAATAATCTCAACAGATAAAACACCCTCTACTCTCTCTCGTATCCACATCCCACGAACCAAGTTCAATCTCAAGCAAGCACAGTCAATTCGGTAGACACTTCTAAGGACCAACGGTTTTGCACCAACCTTCGACCATCATGGCCAGGCTTACCATCGTCCTCGTCTGCATCGCTCTTCTCCTCCTAAGTACGCATTCCCAGCTTTCCTTGTAGCTAACATTTTTTTGTCGCCGCCATTGCTGTCCAGCGTTTTCAGGGAATGAAGGCACATAACTCACGAACCGTAGGCGTTTTTCTTTTCCCGATCCGATCGCTTACCGCGCCGCTTTCTCCCGTTCCTCCTGAATCTTACAGGAGCTGAGGCTAAGGGCCCGCCCCCCGGCAAAGGGCCCGATAAGGGCGATAAGGGCGACACTGGCAGCACCGGCAGCACCGGCAGCACCGGCAGCACGGGCAGCACCGGCAGCACTGGGACCACTGGTGGCTCTGACAAGGGCAAGGACAAGGACAAGAACGGAGGAGGTCCCGGTCCCAAGCCTGTTCCTAAGAAGCCCTTCAAGCCCGTTGTGCTCGGTGAGTGATTTTCGCGGGAGACACGCAGGCGTTGAGATCCCACGCCTTGTTTTGGCTTCGAATCTTCCGCTTAACTTTCGTCCTTGCATTCATCGTTAGCTTCAGCACCGAACGTATCCCCGGCTCACAATTTCTGTTCCTAAATTCTTTTCTGTTACTGTATTTTTTACCACAGCTCGCTACATGGGAACTGTGCACCCGTGCAAGCCCCTCCCCTTCGTGCGGGGCTCCATCGTCGCGAACGTCATGTCGACCGACGACAACACGACCAACTCCATGACCTACGGCCTCCTCGTGTCCGGAACCGCCGAGCCGCCCACCGTACAGGGGATTTACAGCACGGATCCGTGCGATCCGCTGGTCGAGCAGAAGCTGGTGACCGATTTGAACGGAACGTGGGTGAACGTGCCCCAGAAGCCGTCCAGGAAGAACAGGAGCCCTCCCCAGGTGTACACCCTGAGCAACACTGTCAATGAGACCGCTCTGCCGCAGCCTCGCCCTGACGGTGCTCCCAAGGGGAACGCCTGGGGCAAGGTCTGGAAGATGCAGCCCCTTTATGTGATGATGTTCGTTAACACTACCGCGGGTAACGGCACTGTTGCTGGCAAGTTCATGCGGAACAAGTAGACGGGGTTGGGTGAGGGTTTTGTGTTAATTATTAGCCCTGCAGCTTCAGAAGACGTAATATCTTACATTGTTTTTTATTATTTTATTTCTATACAACCAAATATGAACGTTGCTATCGCTGTTTTTATCATTACGTGTTTTAAGTACATAGCAGCAGCAGCTCCTGCCGAGAGTGAATGGGCTGGCTGTGTAAGTCGAGCGCGGCTTAGCCGCCATTCGTCCTGCATTAAAGCGCGTGGTCCAAGAAAGATCAAGACTCAAAGTCTTTGATTCTTGGCCGCTCGCGAAGCCCAACCTGAGTACACAATGTTACCCTGAAACCCAGCAACAAGAGGTATATCTTGAACGACGAGAACTGATTGGTCGGGTCCCCAACCACAGTGGGGGTGCGACTGCAAGCGTCAAACCTGCAACCAGCAACGACACGAGGGTGGATCAAGACTCAAAGTGGGGCTATTTTGCATGGCGGCGCGGCTTTAGTATTTGTGATTTTGTTATGTTTGAACATTCCCCTTCACGCGCTCGAAACTGAACGTTTTTTTTATGGTCGCCGAGTGTCGCCAGCCCAAGTCCCTCCCTTCGCCCAACCTCCCTGTCGCTCGTCGTTTCGCCCCCACCTCGCGAAGTTGGCGAGCGGGACCAAGAATCAAAGACACTGAGTCTTGGTCTTACTCGGGTCACGCGCTTTAAACATAAGAGTAGCATATGTGCATTCGTGTCATGATGCAGACAAACATTCCTGATATTAGCGTCCTGGAAAAACTGGAATAAATAATTCTAGGGAGCAAGCAAATCTCAGGGTGGTGAAATGCTAGGTCACGACTTGCGGAGGTGCCCTCCCCCAAAGGCGAACAAACGAGACACGATATGTCATGTATTGTAAGAGAGCTCATGAGATCATCCACTCTCTGATCTACATTACCGCATCTGTTAACGAAACCGCGGATCTGCCTTGCTCTGCCAGCTCAAGTCGGTCGCGGCGAAAATCTTCGGGCTGTGCAGTTGCCACCTCCAAACAGAGCCGCAGCACCTGAGCAGGCCTCTCGCTAAGCCCTAGGGGATTCCGTTAGGGGACGGAATCGACCCAGAATTACCGGTTAACGGACGGAATCTACAGAAAATTACACGTTAGCATACGGATTCGCCGACGAGCTACCCTTCGTGCTCTACTACCATCCTCAGACTGAGCACCTTCGCCACAGCTCAGGAAGAGGCGAGGTAAGATTCAAGGTGTGCTGTGCCTTAGAAAGTCGGGAGAGTGGATTTTTTTCTGCTCTGTTGTCTACAAAACAGCAGGTAGAAAGATAGTGCACTCATGGCGAGGAACTGGAGGGGAGTAGTGGGGGGAAGCGGGTGTTAAATACAGTAAGAACGGAAACAAAAGAAAGTAGCCCGTAATGTTAAGGAATCACATGGAATCCAATCCGTTATGTGGACGGAATCAGGAGATTTTAACTCGTCAAAAAAAAAAAAAAAAAAAAACAAACAAACAAACAAACAAACTGGAATCCAGCGGGAAACAACTCATAATTTCTTGACATTAAAGCGAGGATCTCAAAGAGGCGCGAAACCAAATCCGAAGGTTTTGGTTTCGGGTTGACGAAATGAGCGAAACCGTAACAGCAACCCCCAACACCCCTCACCACACCTCGCAATTTTCGCGACCCCTCGAAACCAAAACCTTTGGGTTTGGTTTTTTGCTTCTCGAGACCCTCGCTTTAAGGGTAATTCCTCTTTTAGAGAGAGGCCTTCACCTGAGGTCACGCATGGGATGATTCAGGCCATGCGATTTGGTTGGATGCCAGACAGCCAGCCATCGCCAGCGGCACAAAATAATGTACACATCGTTTCGCCAACCAATATTACAAGAAGCCCAACGCTGGTCACACCTTTTCAACGACACCAGCTGTCGAATTCGACGTGAACCAGTTTCCGTCAGGAAGAATGCAACTGGTGGATAGGTTAGTGGCCAGGTGTCGTGACGTATCATTTGCCTGGACAGCCCATAACTCGGTGCCTGATTCGTCATAGTTCGCACAGATTGCTTTGCACATGAAACTTGATTCTCGCGAACTTCTATTCACCAACAGCAATGGTTGGTTATGTTTCGCCAGAGGGAACCAGGTTCGCCATCTAATTTTCGCCAGGAGAATCCTATCTTCACCACTCACTCTTTGCCAGGTACGTATGTGCTGGGTGTAGCCCCTCGTGCTTTCTTCGTCGACCGCGTCTTTCATTTTCTCCCACCGAGGTTGTTCCCCCACAGGAGCTCCTAGCGTTTCGCTGTCCCAGGCCAGCCCCTTCCCCAGGTAGCCCCCCAGTATTTCTACCCTCGAGGCTCAGTTCAAGAAACCATCATCGCTACAAAACATCATCTATCAAGAAGCCTTGTCCTGCACTCGCCATTCAAGTTTCCGGTCCTCTTTATCTAGCTCATTCACCCTTTTCTAGCTCGTCCAGGCAGCTGTTTTCGAAATGGCGCGTTTCTTGGTTTTCTCCATCACTATTCTCCTAGCCTGTTCGCTCGTCGTAGCTCACGACGAACGAGGCGGTGGCAGAGACGGCGGAAGGGGAGGCGGACGCTGGCGGCCGTCGCCATTGGCGCGCTACGAGACCAACATGCGGCCGTGCGTCGGCTGGGCTCCCATTCGCGGAGCCGCGATGATCGATGTCCTTACCACGCAGTAAGTACTAGCCGCTCTAGCGTGGTTTTGACGGGCCGCAAAACTCAAAAGTTTTGAGGTGCCTCAAAAGTTATTTGCGGAGCCGCAATGGTCGACGTCCTTGCCACGCGGTAAGTAGTAGCCGCTGTAACTAGCCTGGTCTCCACATAATGAGTTCCGCTACGATTAACGTCCCGCTATAGCAACGACTTGTCCGCATGGCGAATTGCGATAGTGATTTCGTCGCTTTGGAAGCATAGTCTAGATCTAAACTCTTTCTTCCTTCCATCTTCATCTTCCGTTGTCGTCTCTCACCGTGGTCTCTTTTCACCTACTTCCTGGTTTCGCGTTTCCCTCATTGCTTGTTCTCAGAACCACGGGAACGAACGAGATTCGCTACGGCCTCATGGTTCAGGGTGTCGCCGCGCCTCCCGCGAAAATGACCGTCTACTCCACCGACCCCTGCGACCCTCTGGTTACCTCTCCCAAGAAACTCGTCGAGCTTTCGGGAAAGTGGTACAACATTTCGCCTAGACGTGGCCCTACGAGTTTCACCATGAGTGGTTCGGTGCTGAGCAGTGCTCTTCCGGTCCAGACGACCTACTCTCGCGGAAGGGGTTACCAGGTTCCAGTTTTCATCTCCTTCGCCATAAATTCGACGATGAACAGCACTATTGCTGGAAAGTTTCGACGTGACTATTAGATTGGGGGGTGGGGGGATGCTATGCGACTTCTAAAGCGTTCCCATTCAGTGGGGAGTAGGGGGAGGGAAGGGGAGAAAGAGGAGTGGGCTAACGTGACCCGACCCGAGCCATGCGGGGGCTAGGGTTACCAGACTTTGCATGCAGCAAGACTTTTCGCGTGAATGTCTTGATGTGGAGTTAATAACGGCTGGGCTGCTGCTGGCCGTATTTATTATATTATTTTATTCAGTCCTCAATATTTGTACAAAGATGGGAACCAGCAACAAGACAACCTACCCATCAAGCAACATTTGGCAGAACCCACATCCAGCAGCTAAATTACCCTACACCCACATAAATTACCCTATTTGCTAGAACAACGTGAGAGCTGACCGCATAAACCACGTCCTCTTCCTCTTGACTTCCGACAGTTTCATGTTTCCAATTGCCACTTGAGAGGTGGCTGCACCATGCCGCACCATCCCCCGCAAGACTTGGAAAGCCAAATAGGTACCATAACGGCCGCTATAGTTTGAAGGGAGAATCGTCTGATGGAAGGGGTGAGCTGTACCTGACGGGTGCACGTCAGCGGACCCTCATTGTTATGCACGCATAGAAAGTGACGCCGACGGCGACAGAAACGAAGAGAATTGCGACGGTAACCAGCAGGAACTGCGACCAGGCGAGCGTGGGCGGACAGCTCGTCGCGCACTCGTAGCGGATATAACGGTCTGAAAGAGCGAGGGTAGAATGGAAAACAGATACGGATGGAGCAGTTGGATGGTGGTTTGGGAAAATAGAATCTGGATGGCAGTAGCGGACACGCGAATATTCATCACAGCCAGTTTTACAGCGGGTGCGTGAGCGCATATTGATGCGGATTTTTCGGTCTAATACTTCGCAAAAGCGTGATTGCGAAAGCTTGGGGATAGAGCGGCAAGCGTTGTTGGAAGATAGGGCACTCACACGAGGGGCTCCAGGCGAGTCTGTGTAAAATGAGTCTAATTTTGAGTCGACTCAAGAGTAAAGATTGAGTATATTACACACGGAAGGGCAAGCGTTGTTGGGAGATAGGGGTCACTCACACGAGGGGCTCCATGCGGGCCGGAAAAACGCGTTACACGATGAGGGTGTGTCGGCCACGCATGTCTGTCGGTCGGACGAACGCAACAGGGAGGCACAGGAAACAACGGGAACGGGAAACGATGCGGAGTGCGAACACAATATGCATAAGTGAGATGGCATTTGATGAAATGCGAGCGCAGTTCACGGGAGCGAAACAGATCTAACGGCCGTGAAATAATCGACTAATGTAGTAAGTAATGTACGTGAAAAAAGGAACGTAGCGTGCAATGTTTGACACGTTTCGCGTTGGCGTGCTCCGTTCCGCGCATGGTGCACGCTGCGATGCACGACGACGCAGTGGGCTGTGCTTGAGGCGGCTACAAAATTATTTTCTGGACGTAGTTTGACGCGCGACGACGCTGCGTGCGTTGGGCCCACCGTGCAATGTTTGACGCATTTGGCATTTGCGTACTCCGTCCCCGGCACCGTGCACGCCGTGATGCACGACGACGCTGCGACCCGCGCCGCGAAGCACGATGCGATGAGCACGAGGAGAAAGACTAGCACGGGGCGTTCCATGGAGGCGGCTACAGTGGCTCCGTGAGGCTACTACGAGGATTGCTCGGTTGTGAATTTCGGGCGGAGGACGGCGGTGCGACGAATAAAAGGGTGCTGTGGGAGGAAGTGCTTGCGTCAAGGCATGCAGGAAGAAAGTGTCAGTCTATCCGTGGGCCGAATAAACAGGAAATCGTCGTAGGAAGACACAGTATGCGATATCGTGGATGCTTGGACGAGGTGGGGATACGCTATAGTGAGACACGTTGTGAGGAGCGCACGTGTTGGCGAACGGACATTCAGACGATAGAAACGTAGGCTGCGTGGGAAAGCACGCATTCAAACATGGCTTCAAACGACGGAACCTCCACCTTCGCCGAACTCCTAACCTCCTCACTCGCCCAGCTGAGGATAGCCTATTGACACACCGAACTGCGAAATTTACCAAGGGCTAGAGAATCCCAGGCGTGCTGCTTCTCCTGCCTCTGGCTAGCCAGTGCGAAAGGCTTTCTTGCTCTGAGTGCTTGGGTGGGGGTGTCACTGTCCATAGTTAGCGGCTGTCGAGGACAACCCAGGGCCCGCTCGCCCGCATCGTGGTTTTGTGTTGCGTGCGTTAGGGCGTGTCCAGCGCGTATGTTTGATTGCGGTCGGGTGAGGTGACTCACGGATCAGAAGGGTCGATAACAAATCTAAAAAGGTTGGGTAGGGTTTTGACCAAAAACGAACGTTGCGGGGGATGGTTTCCCAACGTAGATTTGTGCCCAGCGCCCAGCGCACGACGGGAAATCAGGAGCGAATGGTTGGAGGTTCGGTTTGAAATTCCTCACGAAGCGCGTGCGGCGCGATTTCGAAAATCCGGCATGCAAGGCCAGACCTGGTGGTGTGGGGTGGTGCTGTCACCAGTTTGGAAACAAAAGCTGGTGTCCCCAGGGATTTTTTCGGTTCCCCTGGGCAAAGCGAGGAAAATCGCGATAGCCATGCCTAAGGGCGTGTAACATGTTCTCGAACAGCTTCCGAACCGAGCATTCATCGAGCTGTACCATTAGTTTTATAGTCTAAAACGCAGTACAACATGCCATACCGCTTTTAACCTCTCTGAATGGTCGACCCTGAGGCGTGTTCGTAAAAAATGTTACACGCCCTAATGGAATTGTCAGATTCCTGGTCACTGGTCACGGACGGGCGTTGCCGAGTCCACAATTTGCCAACAGCACCCAAGCAGCCCTGAAACAAATTGAGGGGCAGCAAAAGTGTAGGGGTAATATTAAAATCTCTGTGCCAGCCGGGAATCGAACCCGGGTCTGCACCGAACAAGATGGCAGGGTGCTATTCTACCACTAGACCACTGGCACGTGTCATCCATGCATAGCAAAAACGTTTATTAATATTGTAAAATAAAAACAAAAGCTGTGCTGCACGTCCCCCTGAATTTGAAGCCCTTACAGCTGGCCACTTCAGCCAAAGTTGCTCCCCCTCCTGCTGCACCAACCTTCAGATTCCCTTTCCCGAATCCCAAGCCATTCTGAACTGAATCCCCTCCATAGTTCGCTCACGCTCAACTGCATGCCGCGCGTTCCAGAGTCTGGTTGCCCTCCGAAGCTGGGAAGGATTCCCTAGAGATCTCCGACTTCAAGCTGGAACCCAGAATTCGCTCACGAGATTCCCGTGTGATGGGCTTCCAAGCAACACGAACGAGTCCCGCCGCAGGTACCCTCGCCCTGCAACTGGTAACGCTGTTATTGATGCTCGCCTTCCTACCTGACAATTTCCATGCTAAGGATAGCTTGCGACTATATTTCGAGGGAGAGTGAACCCTTTTCAATATTTTGAAAAGATGTCGTTCTTTTATTTCATGCCATTCGTTCTTGTTCTTGGGGCTCTGTGTTCTGTTCAGAATCCCGTGCTGGCGTCGGATGCCATTCAACACAACATCGATGGCGGAGGTGAAGTGTACGAGATCCAACCGCCGGAAAATCCTCATGGTCTTCTCATCTTTAGAGACACCGACTCTGGAATTTCTGGAGTGAGCCGCGCAGATGCTGAGCCTAGGCTAAGCAATCAAGCTGGCGTGTTCAGGTATAGAGGCGGACTGAACATGGCGACCCAAGAACATATTAAGGACGTCGCAGGGTCCAACATCGCTGAGCCGAAGTGCCTGAGAATCACCGCTCAGTACCTGGCCAGGACTGAAGGCTGGCACGCTTGTGCGTATAACAGCTCTGCTGGATACCGTGCCGTCGGCGCTGGGTACAACTTGGATCAGAATCCAGCAGTCATCCTGTCAGATTTCAACCTTATTGGTGCAGATTCTCATGCGGTAAGTTCCACGGACCTGGTCTGGAACATCTTTCGCAGCTACTCAAGCTTAATTCAGCTGCTCAATCTTACAAAATTTGCAGTTAAAACTACTCATGCAGTGTGACAGTGTCTCATTTTCAATGACCGATCTTGCTTGCAGGTGTATACTGGTTCCAAGTGCCTGACAGGTCCTCAGATCAGCAGACTGCTGGAGCTCAGCGTCAGGAGGCTTCTTGCAGCGAAATTGACCTCCGATTTTGCAATTGATGCCAGTAGATTCTGCTGCGACGTTCAGAAGGCCCTTGTGGATGTTCTTCTCACCAGCATGCACCTGGATCTGGATGCATTTTCTTGGTTTCGTAACATTGTGAAGACGTTGACGAGGCATGAGTGGAAAAGAGCTGCCAGGCTGCTGGTAGAGACTGCATGGTGCGCAGCAGACGAGTCAAGATGTGCTGCCGCTGCCATGCTGCTTGCTGCTGGGTGTGGGACTCTTTGATTGACACGAGAGTAGGCTCTGTTGTGCTTGCGTGAAGTGTCTGGAGCGTTGCTCATTGCTTCCGTAATCCCAGTCTGAACACACTCCTCACTCTGATGCCATTTTGACAATGGATGGATAAAGGCGTGTGTCTTACAGTTCCGGAACCCGGCAAGTTCCGGAACTTGGGCTGGTTACACGTGCCGCGGAGCATTTCGATGAGATCTCGTGAATTCCTCCCGGGGCAAAAGTTTCGCGAATTTCGGAACTAGTTCCGAAATTTCCAGAAGCGGAACTGTAAGACACACGCTATACGGGTTTTCGTCCTCAACTGCAAGATTTCTTGTTTCAGTTCCTCCAGTAACGAGGCCTTCTGGTCCAGGTTTTAGGAGCTCATGTTAGGAGTCGGGACGCATTTGCGACAATCCCTTTCTCCGCATGGCGCTCCATCTCGTCCCCTTGCGTATCACTTGTCCGACGTGTCTCATCTCCGTCGTCCGCCACGTCAGCGCACTGCCGAATCGACCGCACTCAGCAGTCCCGTTGAAGCTTCCTTGCCGCCGCAGGATTTGTTCGAAGAGTAGCACCTCAGGTCATTCGAGGGCAATAGTTGCCTTATTCCCTAATCTGAGCGATAGTAACGTCTCCCATAAACTTCCTGGCAACGACAAGACATTTCCAAGAGTACACAATGGGAATGGTAGGGCCTTATTGGAACGTCCCGAGGGGTTCAAGCAGAACGAGCAAGCTACACAACGCAATCCACAGGAATCTGCCGTTGATCCTGAGCATCCGCCTGATGGGATAAATCTGACGGCTGGGGATGAACCGCGGGAATGGGTGGGCCTGGCGGCATGGCGAACCGCGGCAATCCGCACAGACACCTTCTGGGGACCTAAGGGTTCTTGTGACCCCCCACCCGGGATTAATAATAATAATAATAATAATAATAATACGCACAATGAAGCGGCTGAAGCGGGAGGCGTCAGTCACGCTGCCACGTGGGATCGGGTCGAGCTTCCTGCCACGCTGGCGGAATGCGGGCGAATGGTGCTGGAATCTCCCGATCCGCGGTTTAAGATCGCCGTCACGCACGCCGCGCACCGCTCGCTCGGTGCGGGTGCGCCGGCGGTAGGCGCGGCGGCTGCGGTAGGCGTGCCAGTAGGCGCGGCGGCTGCCCCGTCAAAGCCTGCGCGGCCGGCAAGACCAGAGCTGGTAAGGGTGGGGGAAAGCAGGACGGAGAAGGTTGCTGCAGTGCAGTCCAATGAGGGTTCAACGACTCCTCTCCCCCCCTTACTTCCCCCCCATTCCCCCCCCCCTTTTTCCCCCCCATTGGGTGCATCCTCCGTGCCATCCTGAAGCCCGGCCCCTCCTCCCCCTTACCCATGCCACATGCTGCGCACATGCTGCACATGCTGCGCACATGCCCCTTACCCCGGCACACATGCTGCGCTATCTTGCCCCCGCGGAACGGACCTCCCCCTTATGCCACATTCCGTCATTTCTCCCCCCAACCCTCCCCCACCCTTCCCCAGGTTCACCCACCACGGGCAATCCCCAAGCCCGGCTGCTCCTCCCCCTTAGTCTGGCCCGCGCACATGCTGCACAATCTAGCCCACGTGCAACTTATCCCATCCACTTCCCCCATTGTTCCCCCCACCCCCACCTCCCGCCGTCCCTAGGTGCATCCCCGTGCCATCCCCAAGCCCGGTCCCTCCTCCCCCCTGCCCTGGCCCGCACACATGCTGCACAATCTAGCCCACGTGGAGTTGAACGCTATTGACCTGGCATGGGATACCGTTGTCAGGTTCTCACTGCTGGCGGGGGAGGAGGAGAGGGGGAAAGGGGAGGGGGAGAGGGGGAAAGTGACCCCGGACTGGAAGCTTCCACGTCAGTTCTTCTTGGATTTTGTACACGTGGCAGATGATGAGAGTAGACACCTGGCATGGTGCTTGCAGCGACTGGAGGAGATGGGGTTCAGGTGGGTTGGTCATGCTTCGAGGGATGGTGTACAGGTGGGTCATGCTTCGAGAGATGATGTATGAATGTAAGGGGAATGCTTGTGAAAATTTCCTCTTTCCTTCTCTGCTAAGCTTCTCTCCGCCTCTCCCCATTCTCTCACTCTCTCCTCTAACCCTCCTCTTTTCCCCCTGTCCCCCTGTCCCCCTCCCCCAACCCCTTCCCCCCACCCCTCACCCCCTTCCCCCATCCTTCCCTTTCCCCCTACCCCTCCCCGTCCCTCCCTGCAGCTATGGTGACATGCCAGCGCACAACCTCCTCTGGAAGGACTGCGAGAAATCGGCCAATCACGTGCAAGACAGGCTGGCAGTCATTCCAATGGTGCAGGTATGGTCGCGACCAATCATTAGGGCACCTACCAATCATTAAGAATTGAGAACAGACCAATCACTAGGCACCAACCGATCATTAAAAACAGTTTAATGACTAGGCTCCTATCGATCATAAAGCACAGACCAATCATTAGGGCACCAACCGGTCATCACATCCATCGGTTGGTTGATTGACCACGTGGCAGAGGCAGGAGAGGAGAAGAGGCGGCTACCCACCTGGCCGTTGGGGTGGTGCTCTGACAACCTTCTGGCACCTAGTGTTGTTGAGGTGATGATTCCTGTTCAGCATGTCATTCTCCTGGTTGCTCTATCCCAACGTGGTTAAGTAGGTTCGTTTTGAGACGTCTCCAAAGAAACCTGCTTGGTATGCTCGGTATGCTTTTCTTGGTATGCTCGGTATGCTTGCTTGGTATGCTCGGTATGCTTGCTTGGTATGCTCGGTATGCTTGCTTGGTATGCTCGGTATGCCTGCTTGGTATGCTCGGTATGCCTGCTTGGTATGCTCGGTATGCTTGCTTGGTATGCTCGGTATGCTTGCTTGGTATTCTCGGTATGCTTGCTTGGTATGCTCGGTATGCCTGCTTGGTATGCTCGGTATGCTTGCTTGGTATGCTCGGTATGCTTGCTTGGTATGCTCGGTATGCTTGCTTGGTATGCTCGGTATGCTTGCTTGGTATGCTCGGCTATTGCTATTGCTTGCTTGCTTGCTTGCTTGCTTGCTTGCTTGCTTGCTTGCTTGCTTGCTTGCTTGCTTGCTCCTGATCGCTCTATCCCAACACGAAGCCCGGGAATCCGATACTGGTCCAAGGCTGAGGGATACACTAGTGGGGTGGGGCTGGGCGACACCAGGAGTGCCACGGTGGTGGCTAAGATAGCTCAGGGGGACCACCTGGGCCCCCTGTACCATCTTGTGAGAACCATCTGTTTTCTTCTCCTTCTTCCTCCTGTCGTCAGGAAGCAAGGGGACTAGACGCAGGCCCAAGGCTGGTGGAGAGGTTGATAGGGCTGGGCGACACCAGGAGTGCAGCAGTGGTGGCGAAGATAGCCCAGGAGGAGGTGGCGCACGTGGCAGTGGGGGTGGCGTGGTTTGTCTGGGTGTGCGAGCGCATGGGGGTGGACCCACACCTGTCCTTCACGAGTGAGTGATGTGTGCGCCCATGGGGGTGCGCACATGGGGGTGCGCCCATGGGGGTGCGCCCATGGGGGTGCGCACATGGGGGTGCGCCCATGGGGTAGCGCCCATGGGGGTGCTTGTGCGTGTGCGTGTCCAAGGGGGTGCATGTGTGTGTGAGCATGCGAGCGCATGGGGGTGGTCCCACACCTGTCCTTCGCCAGTGAGCGTTGCTGTGTGTGCATGCGCTTGTGCGGAGGGGTGGGGAGGGGAGGGGAGGGGAGGAGAGGGGAAGACGGGTGAAGGGCCCATTCAACCATGTATGCAGCATGTCCTAGCATAACCATCTCTTCTCATCTGTCCATCCCATCTCCCCATCCCTCCAGCCGTGATCCGAGCCATATGTGCCGACGGGGTGAAAGGCCCCTTTCAACCACGCTGCACATGCTGACGTGTTATATTCCTCCATCACCCATCCTTTCTCCCCATCCCTCCAGCTGTGATCCAAGCCCTGTGTGCCGACGGGGTGAAGGGTCCCTTCAACCATGCAGCTCGTGCCACAGCCGGCCTGCCACGCCATTGGTACGACCCCCCAGCACCGCCCACTGCTGCTGCCCTGCTCGATACAGTCACATCCGGCACTGCTGCCACTGTCACGCCTGCTTCAGTCACACCTGCCGCGGCCACATCAGCTCATGCCTCGTCCACATCAGCTCATGCCTCGTCTGCAAGATCATCTAGTGGAGGGACAAAGCAGGGGGGTAGATTGATGGTGGATAGACAGGCCAAGAAGCAGCAAGAGGTGGGCAAAAAATGGAGAAAGCTTATGAGCGGGCAGGTGAATCGGGCAGCCCGGGAAAAGATGCGGGATCAACTGCAGAGGAAGGCGTCTCGCATCGAGGCCCACATCCAACGGTGCCAGATGCTCCTCCAATCAGACTCTGCCACGTCATCACCCTCCTCCTCTCCTTCCTCCTCCTCCTCCACTTCCCCATCTTCTTCCACATATCCCTCCGAGGAAAGCTGTCACGCTTCTCCCTCGAATCCCCCATGCGCTTCCCAAGAGCCGCTTTCTGCAAAAGTTACAGAGGGGGTCTCAGCGTCACATCCCCCTTACAAGCTGTCTCGCCAAGTGAAGCAGGACTTGCAGGCCCAGCACAGCCACTCCCAGGAGCAGCTTAAAGAGGTGAGCCTGGACTCTTGCTTCCTCCCCCAAACTCTAAACACCTCCACACTCCTACCGTGTCTTCTGTTGCCCTCTGAGTGAGTGGTAACCACATATTTCCTTCCCTTCTCCTTCCCTCTCCCATCTGGGCATGTCAAGTCCATTGTACTAGGATCGATTGCAGTATGGAATGGCATCCCTCTGCTGGCGCATTCCATGCTGCCCCACCATGCACAGTACAGTAGTCTGTGTGCTGTGGTATCTCTTAGAATAGCAGAATGAATAGAATCTTGACAGTATCCTCCTGATCGTTCCCTCCTCGCATTCCCAACCCCTTGATTTTTCAGGGTGTTTTTGAGAATTCTCAAAAACACCCTGCAAAATAGCAGAATGAATAGAATGTTGACAGTATCCTCCTGATCGTTCCCTCCTCGCATTCCCAACCCCCCATTGCTTCCCCTTCCTTTTTTTAGGTGCACCGGCGCTTGGCCTTGCTCATCTCGTTTGAGGACCACAGAGTGTAATGAATGAGTCTGTTTTTTAGTCGACTCTCAAAACACAAACTCATTACACACGGTGCACCAGCGCCCGCCTGGCCTTGCTCTCATCTTATTTGAGGGCCATTGAAATTCAGCTGCTTAACCTTTTGAAGAATTTGAACTTGTGTTGTTCTCCTGCAATTCAAACTATCCCTTGTAGTTGCCGTGCTGCGGGGCACGGCGAACCAACCCAATATAGGACAACCACAGAATAATTCTGTTCAACCAAGGGCCTTACTCACACACAACCCATCCAGACAAAACCGTGTGAATTTCAACACCTTTGGCTTGCCCTTCGGCTGGAGCCTCGCCGACCAGGCCTAGCCTAAGACCGGGCCTTCAAATGCCTGCAAGACCAGGTAATTGTTCTTTCTAAGCATACATGAGTCTACTCTACGCAACCAGGTTTCAACGCTGAGCCATACAGATACTCTGGTTTCCTGCTCCGGCCTTCTTTTTAGGCATCTCAAAAAGTAGATTCACAGCGCTACAGTGCACCCTTGTTGAGCTAGTGACGCAGACGAGTTGAATGGCCTCCATAATCGAATTGTAACAGGCTGTTGGCCTCCATAATTGAGTTGAAGGGCCTGTTGGCCTCGATAAAGAGCATCTGAGTCGAAGCGCACATGCAGTCAGAGGACCCGGCCCCACTCATGCGCTGCCAATTTCTGTGAAAAAAAACGTGGGCAGGGTGGTGGGAGATGGGGGTTGACACAGGAAGGGGGTATTGGGGCGTGGGAGAGAATGCAGAAGGATAATGCCCTGTTATAGCACATACCAGTGCAGGGTACTGCCTCAATATAAGCACACACTAACAGACGGTATTGCCTACAAGCACATACCAGCACAAGGTATTGCCTTGTTATAAGCACACACCAGCACAAGGTATTGCATCGCTATAAGCACATGCCAGCACAAGGTACAACCTCGTTATAAACGCATACCAGCCAAAGTACTGCCTCATATAAGCACATACGAACGAGGACAAGGTAGTGCCTTGCCATAAGCAAATCCCGCCTTCTTATAAGCACATACCAGCACAAGGCACTGCCCCGTAATTAGCACACCAGCACATCGCACTGCCTCGTTATAAGCACATACCAGCACAAGGTACTGCCTCGTTATAAGCACATACCAGCACAAGGACTGCCTCATTATAAGCACACACCAGCACAAGGTACTGCCTCGTTATAAGCACATACCAGCACAAGGTACTGCCTCATTGTAAGCACATATAAGCACAAGGTACTGCTTCGTTATAAGCACATACCAACACACAGTATTGCCTACAAGCACATACCAGCACAAGGTATTGCCTCGTTATAAGCACACACCAGCACAAGGTATAACCTCATTATAAACACATACCAGCCAAAGTACTGACTCATATCTTAGTTGCACTATACGCAAAAATTGGAGAGCGTATAGCGTATATACGCTATATGCTATACGAGTGTATGTACGCCATACGCTCGGCCGAAATTTCAAGGGCAGCCCGGCAAAAAAATCTGAGTTTTTTTTTCTCGTCAATTCGCGAGTAGGCGAAACCAAACAGGGTGTCGCGAACTTGCGACACACCAAAATTTGCAGCAACCCCAAGTTCCAACCATTTCGCCCCCCTCCACCACACTGCACCCTACTGTCTCTACCCAACCCAACCACCCCTCCAAACTGCTCTCTTCCTCTCTCACAGCTATGTGCGCTAAACCTAGTTTAGTGCGTGTAGCGTAGCTTACCTTTACCAGCCCCATTCCCCACGGGCTTTAGGTCTTTTCCGTCCTTTAAGCTCGAAACCGCTTAGATTATAAGGTAAAGCCGTGGCGACGCCCCCGAGTCCGCCTGATGGCTCTGAAGCCTTGGCACGATGCTTATTTATTATGCCTAAGTCTATGTTTTCTGGTTGTTGTTGCAGTGGAACCGTTTGCTCCACATCCCCCTCTTCTCCCCCCCTTTTTTCCCGGTGTTTTTGCCCCTGCCCGAAATTTATTTTTGCCTTCCCGGGATAGCGTATACATAGCGTATACAAGGTCCCAATCCAAGCGTATTGCGTATATACGCTGGCATATATACCACCATACGCCCATGGTGCAACTAAGACTCATATAAAGCACATACCAGGACAAGGTACTGCCTTGCCATAAGCACATCCTGCCTTCTTAAAAGCACATACCAGCACAAGGTACTGCCTCGTTATAAGCACATACTAGGACAAGAAACTGCCTCGTTATAAGCACATACCAGGACAAGGCACTGTTTCGTTATTAGCACACCAGCACAACGCACTGCCTCGTTATAAGCACATACCAGCACAAGGTATTGCCTGTGGAGGTCCACGGCTCGTTTGCAGAGCTTCTTCACATCCCACGACCCTGCTGCTGCATTGAAGAACTGAGATGCACACCGGGTGGGGCGGGGGGGGAGGGGGTGGGGAAGGAGGGGGAGGGAAGGGGTGGGGGAGCGATAAGGGTGAGGGGAGAATGATCCTATTGAGCCTGTGTTCATGTCCGATGACCCCGCTGCTGCGTTGAAGAACTGAGATGCACACCGGGTGGGTGGTGGGGGGGGAGTGGGGGGAGGAGAAAGACAGGAATGACAGGGGCGAGAGGGACGAGAGGGATCAGATGAGGTGTTTGCAGTTTCTGCTTCTTCACAACTCACGACCCCGCTGCTGCGTTGATGCTGTGAAACACAGAGGGGAGAGAGGATGCCAGAACGACTTTTGAGGTGCCTCAAAAGTCGACCCCGCCGCTGCTGCTGCGTTGACGCAGTGAAACACGCAGGGGAGAGAGGATGCCAGAACGCATACCAGGGCCATGGGACTATCACATGTGAGCTGCACATACGGCACTATCACATGTGTTGAAACCTCCTCATTACAGCCCAATTCCTACCCTCCCCTTCATCCCCCCTCCACCCTTTCCTCCCTTTCTCCCACTTGCTTCTCACATAAAAACACATCGTCCAGTCCCTACGCCCCACCAATCAAGTCATCCCGGAGCTTGAGCACGGCGCGAGCACACACACGGTGGTCACGCGCTCCTGCTCCTCCCTCCTTGTTAACTTCCTAGCCCCACCCCCCCTTTTTACACTCACATCGACCACGTCATCCAGTCCTTGGGCCCCATCGATAAAGTCATCCCTCAGTTTAAGCACGATCGCCAGCACACAGAAGGTCATCATGTGCTCCTGCTCCTCCCTCCTCACGTACGGCACCGCCACTCCCGCTGACTTTTGACTCGACTCAAGAATGATATCGCACCTTCACACCTAGCGAAACACACACTCCCCAACCCAGCTCCCCTTACCGAGCCCCCCCCCTTATACTCACATCCACCACATCATCCAGTCCTTGGGCCCCATCGATAAAGTCATCCCTCAGTTTAAGCACGATCGCCAGCACGCAGAAGGTCGTCATGCGCTCCTGCTCCTCCCTCTTCACATACGGCACCGCCACGCCCGCTGACTCCGGGAGCAAATAGAACGCCGACGGCTGCGGGGGAACTATGGCCCCCGCCTCCTCTGCTGCCGCTGCTGCTGCTGCCGCCGCTGCTTCTGCTGCCTCATGTGCTGCTGCTGCTGCGCTGCCGCCCTCCCTGCTAGCAGCCCCAGGCTGGTCAGTCATTATGGTATCCGTCACGTGCTGCTGCTGCTGCTGCTGCTGCGGCTCTGCTGCAGTGCTTTGGCACGGTGGTGCGGATGCAGCGGATGCAGCGGCTGCGGCAGCAGCGGCTGGAAGCGCCGTGTGTTTCTTGCTGCCTTTCCTTCCCAACCCGAACGACCCCGTCCGCCTGTGCATCTTCTTCACTCCCTCTGCCCCGCCCGCCCCACCTGCCCCACCACCCCCCTCTCTACCCTCCCCCTGACCGCCAGAATCACCTGCCCCAGATCTACCTGCCAGCAGCCCGCCCAGGCTCTTTCCCAGGGGGCTCCTGTGGGTTCTCCCGTCCCCTGCAAACCCTGGCCTAGGAGGCACCTGCAGCTGCTGCGGCCGGGATGTACCAGAGGAGGGACCACCAGCAGCACCAGCGGCACCAGCAGCACCACCGCCACCAGCACCAGCAGCAGCATAAGACGGTGTGATTGGCCGGCCGGCTAAGGCCGAGACGGCAAACGCCACAGGGTCAGCAGGCATAACAGCAGTAGCAGCTACCGTCCCCACGGGCCCAGCGAGCTTCTGTGCTTTGTGCCACAAAGCCACGGCCGACCGCCTTGAGGAGAGGTACTTGGCGCTTTTGCTGGCAGCAAGCTTACCTGCAGAGGCGTCTAGAGTGACGTATCTGATCACGTCCTTTCTGTACGGGCCTACGCCCGCCCAGCTGCGGGAGCGAGCGCCCTCGATGGCGTGGCTTTTTGTGGTGTTACTGGGGTTGATGGCGGTGGTGGTGGGGTTGCGTGCGCTGTGGCTGTTTCGGGTGGGGAGTGAGGGCGTGGTGGCACGGGAAAGGGCACCAGCAGCAGCAGATGTGTTCTTTCTGCCGTCGGTGAGAGCGCCTGATGTCACTGCTGCTTCTACAGACGCCCAAGCGGACGCAGTGGACGATCTTGTGCCTGGAGGTGGTGGGATGGGTTGATGGGGTGAATATTGACATGATTTGGTGACAAGCATGCTGCACCCCTGAGGTTACAGCTGCTACTACAAAAGACCCAGCGGACGCAGTAGACGATCTTGTGCCTGGAGGTGTTGGTATGGGGTGATGAGTAGATGGGTTGATGGGTTGATGGGGTAATGGGGTGATGGGGTGATGGGTTGATGGGATGATGGGGTGAACATTGTTATGATTTGGTGACAAGCATGCTGCACCCCTGAGGTCACGGCAGCTTCTACAAAAGGCCAAGCCGAAGCAGTAGATGATCTTGTGCCTGGAGGTGCTGGCATGGGGTCATGGGAGGGAGATGGGATGGTGAGATGGTGGGAAGGATGGATGATGGGATGATGGGGTGATGGGGTGATGGGGTGATGGGATGATGGGGTGATGGGGTGATGGGATGATGGCATGATGGGGTGATGGGGTGATGGGATGATGGGGTGATGGGATGATGGGGTGATGGGGTGATGGGGTGATGGGATGATGGGGTGATGGGGTGATGGGATGATGGGATGATGGGGTGATGGGATGATGGGGTGATGGGGTGATGGGGTGATGGGGTGATGGGATGATGGGGTGATGGGGTGATGGGGTGATGGGATGATGGGGTGATGGGATGATGGGATGATGGGGTGATGGGGTGATGGGGTGATGGGGTGAGGATGATGGCATCATAGGGAAGATGGGATGGCATGACTAGGAAACGAAGATGCATTTGTTGCACCCGCCTTGATAGCTTTGCACTGGCATCCCGCATTACCATACACCATGATGTGGGACGCCATGCCATGCCACGCCATGCCATGCCATGCCATGCCATGCCATGCCAAGCCATGCCATGCCATGCCAAGCCAAGCCATGCCATGCCATGCCATGCCAAGCCATGCCATGCCATGCCATGCCAAGCCATGCCATGCCATGCCATGTCATGCATTTGCATGTGCATTACGCGGCATCACAGATCACCTCACTCACATATCACGTCACTTGACTACCCTGCCCTGACCCCCTACCTTGTCTCAAAGGACTCTTCCCCCCCACATCCTCCGTATGAGCATCCTCCATATGCGTATCTGTACCATCCCCTCCGCCCTTCCCCTTGGGAGACTTTTTCCCACTCCCTGTTGGAGAGATGGGCGGCTTGCCTTCCCCCACTCCCTCTCCTCCCCCACTCTTTCCTCCTCCTCCTCCCTTCCCTTTCCCCCCATCCTGCTCCTCCTCCTCCCCGCCCCCAGCCCTAGTCACCACAGCAGCGGCAGCAGCGCTGGCAGCAGCCTTGGCAGCATCGGACGGCATGCCAACGACCCCAGAGCCCTCGGAGGAGGTGACAGCAGCGGCAGCTTCGGCAGCGGCGGTGGTGGCGGCGGCAAAAGAGGCTTGGTCGAGGGCGTGGGGGAGAGGACGGAGTGCGAGAGGTGCATGGTGTGGTGCAGCACGGACTGGTCCGCCATGGCCAATAAGTCAGCGTCCCTGGCATCATAATCCCATGACCACATCATCTGGGGAAAGGGAGGGCATGTGGGGAAGGTGAGGGCGTGTGGGAGGAGAGGAGAGGGGAGAGGAGGGAGTGTGAGAGGTGCGTGGCATGGCCAGGAGGTCGGCATCACGGGCGTCATAGTCCCACGACCACATCATCTGGGGAAAGGAAAGGGAGGGCGGGGCATGGGGGGAACATGCCCCGCATGGGGCGTCGAGGAAAGGCGGGGAGTGGGGGGAGGGCAGGGAACAAACCAGACAACAAGACCACAAGGGGCACATAAGCTGGGAGTAACTTCCTCAAGAGAAGTTGATCAAACATAAGCAGTGCTCTCAAAACAGACTGTTCCCCCCAAAATAGCCTGTTTTGTTTTGGCCTTCCAAAGTGTCAGTGCCTCGTAGAAGTAGATGTAGCCTGGGAAGGAGATCTCTCGGATGATAAGTTGATAACTGCACCCAAGGCACCATCCTCCAATAACCGGCAGTTGGTCCTAAAAAGGACAAAACACACATACCTCCCAGAAGTAGATGGAGTCGGCAAAGGACAGCTCCCGCCGGAACATGGCCATGATGGGCCGCACCGTGAAGAACATGGAGCCCGCGCCGATCTCGTCTGCAGAGGGAAGGGGGGGGGGGAGAGAGAGGGGAGCATGCAGCATGATAAAAGGGGGGAATGAAGGGGGAATGAAGCATATACTCATGGCCATGATGGACCACACGTGAAGAACACGGGCAAATGGGTCAAGGCAGAAGGCAGAAGGCAGAAGATAGGGAGTGCATGCAGTATGTACCTACCTAGGTGAGCGTAGAGCTCGGGGTCAAGCACTCTGGTGATGTTCTTGAGATTGCATCGCAGCACATGTCTGGGAGCAAATATGGCCGGGAGCACAATACCTACGACCTACCGAGACAGGTCAGTACCTAGGTGGGCGTAGAGCTCGGGGTCGGGCACTCTGGTGATGTTCTTGAGGTTGCACTAGTAAGCGAGCAACAGGAGCAGTGCGTAAGAGAGCAACAAGTGAGTGAGACACACCACAAGGCATGGCATTGCACTCACCTAGGTGAGCGTAGAGCTCCGGGTCGAGCACTCTAGTGATATTCTTGAGGTTGTCAATCTCCTTCTGCACGCCGATGCTGGCCGATGTGCCCATGAAGTCGCTCCGCTGGTGGGCAGAGGCGTGACAAGCACAAGGTAGGGACGAGACAAGGAGATAAGCAGTCCACCCAACAATCGGTTAGTTGCCTCTCAGAAGCAGCGAAGCACGGATTGGAGCCAGTAGACTTCCTTCTCACCTCACCCCCCTTCCCCTTTGCTTTGACATACAGGGGAACGCTAGAGATCCCCTCCCCCTCCCCCTCCCCCCCCGCTCCCCCTCCCGCCTACACCCTCCCCCTTGGACCTACAATGGGGCGCATGAGGCGCTCAAAGCACCAGAAGGCATCGGCGTTGTTGGGGAAGGTGACGATGAAAGGCGACATGAGGTCACTCATGCCTGCACCCGATGGGGGGAAAGAAGCGGGGGGGCAGTGTTGGATGCAAGGGGCATGAGACAGAGGGGAAGGTGACGATGAAACGGGACATGAGGTCGGTCATGCCTGGAGTGTGGTGGGGAGGGGACGCAGGGCGACAGAGGGGTTGGAAGGGGGGAAGAGGCATGAGACAGAGGGGAGACGATGAAGGGCGACAGGAGGGGACAAGAAGAGGCATGGACAAGAGGTCGCTCATGCCTGCAATGTCTGCAATGACGACGAGGGGAGGTAGTAGAAGGGAAGGGAGGGAAGGAGGGCAAGGGGTTGGTGGAAGACGCCTGAGACAGAGGGGAAGATGGCGATTCAGGGCGACACGAGGTGGCTCTCATCTCACCTTGGCAGTACCCCACTTCAGGGTCGAGCCACGAGTACACAGCCAGCACCTCCCTGAGCCGCGACCTGTTCCCCTCCTCCTCGAGGAACACCAGCGTGCGGTCCGCCCTCTTTACGTCCTTTAGTAGCTGTCCCAACAAAGCAATTGACGCACCTTGGCAGTAGTAGCCCACTTCCGGGTCGAACCATGAATAAACCGCCAGCACCTCCATGAGTCTTGATCGGTTGCCTTCCTCCGCGAGGAACACCAGCGTGCGGTCCACCCTCTGCACGTCCACGCCTATCTGGTGCAGCCCCATCCGTTCACCAGAGCAGCCTTAACCAGTTGACAAGTACAGCCCCAACTGCTGACACACACTCAAACGCGTCTCACCTTGGCAGTACCCCACTTCCGGGTCGAACCATGAATAAACCGCCAGCACCTCCATGAGTCTCGACCTGTTGCCCTCCTCCTCGTAGAACACCAGCGTGCGGTCCGCCCTCTGCACGTCCACGCCTATCTGGTGCAGCCCCAGCCGCCACTTGCGGATGCGCTCCTCCCCCACCCTCCGCACCAGCTTCTGCCGCGCCGTCAGCACCGGGCTCTGCCCCTCCCCTCCCTCCCTCCCCCCCCCTCCTTCCCTCCCTCCACCATTCGCCTCACGATCACCACCACCACCACCACCAGCACCACCAGCACCGGTACCATCAGCAACAGCACCAGCAGCAGCAGCAGCAGGAGTGGAGAGGGTGTCAATATCAGGGCCTTGGTAGTAGGAGGGCACGGGCACGTTGGAGCCGTCCTCCAGCACGCGAGGGAAGTCCACCACGACCCCACTGCCCACCACCGGGTCAATCTCGTTGCACTCGTGCTTCAGGTGCGCGTAGAAGTTCCTGAAAGGTTGTGGGGGGTGTGGGGGGGTTTGGGGGGCGGGGGGGAGGGGGGGAGCAGAAGGGGGTTAAAGGGCTGGGTGAGGGGCTGCAGTGGGAGGAGAGGGAGAAGTCAACCACCACCCCGCTGCCCACCACCGAATGAACCTCGTTGCACTCGTGTTTCAGGTGCGCGTCGAAGTTCCTGGGGGGTTGGAAGGCAAGGGGGGGGACGGGGGGCCGGTTGCAGTGGATATTGGAGGGGAAATAAATGACGCCGCTGCCGACCACCGGGTCAATCTCGTTGCATTCGTGCTTCAAGTGCGCATACAAGTTCTTGGCGTGGCTCACATGCGGGCTCACAGCTCACCTGCGGGCTCACAGCTCACCTGCGGGCTCACAGCTCACCTGCGGGCTCACAGCTCACCTGCGGGCTTCCCTCATGGCGTCCCTCTCCTCGTAGTAGGTGCTGTTGGGCGAGGAGAGCCTTCAACAACTGCTCCCAGCTGCTCCATGTTCTCATCTCGCACCTGTGGTTTGCGTCTTTCTACCGTCCTCACATCTCACCTGCGTGCTCACACCTCACCTGCAGGCTTCCCTCATGGCGTCCCTCTCCTCGTAGGTGCTGTTGGGCGAGAAGGGCCCTCAATGAATGCTGCTCTGCACCCTCGCTTCTCACCGCTAGGTTGCGTCTACCATGCTCTCAGCTCACCTGCGGGCTTCCCGCATGGCGTCCCTCTCGTCGTACGTGCTGTTGGGCGAGAAGAGCCCCAGGAGAAACGGCCACACCTCCGATCGAATGCTCGGCTCTATGCCCTGGCGGCGGGAACGAGTGAGAGGGATGAGTGAGAGGTCGAGTGAGAGGGATGGGATGAGTGAGAGAACGAGTGAGAAAACGAGTGAGAGAACGAGTGAGAAAACGAGTGTGAGAACGAGTGAGAGAATGCGGGGGAGAACGAGTGAGAGAGACTAGACCAACAGGGAAGAGGAAAATAGGGAGAGGGGGAGGGGGGGAACAGAAGGACATCATTGCCCTACCAGTACATGACGAGGTGACTTTTGAGTCGACTCAAAAGTCACCTCGAGAGACTAGACCAACAGGGAAGAGGAAAAAGAGGGAGAGGGAGAGGGAGTGAACAGAAGGACATCATTGCCATACCAATACGTGTGTAATGAGTCGATTTCTGAGTCGACTCAAAAATCGACTCATTACACACGGATCATTGCCATACCAATACATGACGTACATGCCATGCAACCAGCACCATGCCATGCGACTCGCACCATGCCATGCGACTCGCACCATGCCATGCGACTCCACCATGCCATGCGACTCGCACCATGCCTGCCATGGAATGAGCACATCGTGCCATGGGTATTATGAACCCGCACCATTCGTCCGTCCCATGCTAGATCCCCCCTTGTACATAATACCCACCAACGCCCCCTGTAAGCGTTTCAGCGCCCACCCCTCGTTATAAACGCACATCCCTTGCTAACCACTCATCCCTCGCTGTCTGTGCCAGAACCCACCCCTCCTCATAAGCACCCACCCCCCGCTATAAGCACCCACCCCCGCTATAAGCACCCACCCCTCGCTGTATGTGCTTGAGCGCCGCATCTATGGCCCACACCCGGCCGAACTCGTCCAGACACGCCTCCCACCTCTCCTTTGACAGCCGCTTCTTCACCTGCAGTGTGATAGTAACGGGGGCTAAGTGAGAGATTACAATGTGCGATTATACCGAAGTCCCGAAGCTCCAGCACCAATGGCCCACACCCAGCCGAACTCGTCCAGGCACGCCTCCCACCTCTCCGCTGATAGCCGCTTTTTCACCTGCATGCCGTGTGTGATAGTAACGGGGTTGCAATGAGAGAGAGGGAGCGATGAGAAGAGCGAGTGGAGGGGAGTGGAAGGGGGGGAGGGGGATGGGGGGGAAGAAGATTTGGGATGGAAGCATGACGAGGAAAATGTACTGATGCTAAGTCCTTAATGCTGACGGCCTGGCGTGATTGTCGGCTGGTATTGGCTGACTGACGGTCTGGTATGACTGACTGACGGCCTGATGGGTTGGCTGATGGCTTGGCGATTTTTACTGACGGCCTGATAAAAATAGTTGACGGTCTGGTATAATTGCCTGACGGCCAGCGTGCTTGACTGACGGTCCGAGGTGGTTGATGGATAGCCGTTCGCTGCTGATTGACGGCCCGGTAGGGTTCCGGTTGAGCGGCCTGAAAATGCACGAAATGGGTCAGAATGGCTCGCTCATTCTTCTCCCCTAAGTGCCTTCTTTTTTCTTTCTTCTCCTCCCTTTAAGAATTATTTATTTCTCCTTACCCGCGGACGGAACTTGCTGACTTGGCTGACATCAACATCCTTCCTAACGGGGTACTCCTGGTCCAGATCCTCCGATACACGCGACCCCTTTATAAGCCGCGAGAAGAAAGACATTGTAGCTGGTCCTCCACAAACCAGACTAATAACCCACAGATCCAACCGTGCGCCTGGTAAGCTTTACGAGCTAAGCCGAGTTAGCCACTCAGACCCTGACGCTTCTAAGACGTGTATTCCTCGTCATCGTTGCTGCTCTACAAGGCTGCCACGAGAGCACGCGACTTGTCCTGAACTCTTTACATAATCAGGACATGCGTCGTCCGAGATATTTCGCCAACGATTTGCGAATGGCGATAGATACGGTCGTTGCTAGCGAAGCTCGACTCATATAACGTGCACGTCTCGGTTCTCTTCGCGAATCGCGGAAAGGGCAGAATCGCCTCTACGAACCTCAACTACAACGGTCACTTGTTCTACAGTCCAAGAGCCTGGAGAACCAGCTGACAGACTTTGCTGCAGCTGATGTGGTTCTATCTAGAAGATGATGCTGTTTTGCTGCTGACATGGCTGGCTTATTAATCTGGCTCGGACGTTGGAATGGGATGGGATGGGATGAAATGGGATTGGATGGGATTGGATGGGATGGGGTGGGGTAAATGAAGGCAGAACAATATGGCGCTTCGAGGCTGGTTGGCTGCTCGTGTCAGTGGACGGTTGCCTGCCTACAGCGCATACGATGCCTATGTCCTCCCAGTCTGCCTACTGCAAGGGAAGTGAGTGACGCACGTCGAACAGCGAGAACCGCGGATACACTGTTCTAACCATCCGTTAAATCAATTTCAGCTGTACTCGAGGAATAGATATGACAAGCCATTCCGCAACAACTACCTACTTAGTCGGACATAGTTTCTAGTCTCATGAGCCTAAGTCGCACAAAGTATGGCACTACTGGCGTTGTTGTTAAGAACATCCTTGCGAGCTTGATCTAGGATGCATTCGATGGCTTTCTTCCATTCACTCGTGCTTCGCTGCTTCATTTAATGTTGCCACTGGGACAGGTCCAAGTGGAGAAATGTCCACTGGGCTCTGGGCTCCACTCCCACTTTCTGAACCATGAAATGGAGATGGCAGCACACACTGCACACACAAAACGAAAGTAGGAATTAGTACGAGCAATAACATTCTGACACCAAACGTCCAACGTCCAAGCCTGACCGAGAACGTGGACTTACATTTGGAGATGCTCTGAAATGCATAAGAGCAAGTTGCCCCATCTTCGCTCCTGCACCAGACACCAAGCGTCCAGCGTCCTTCCCATCCACAATAACCAGCTCCTCGTTACAGCCCCTGCTGACACCAACCGGTGGCCCCACCTCCTTTCCTGCACCCGATTCTGCCTGCAAAGCAATGACTCTGTTGGCAGCACCCTGCCCCCCTTGCTTCTGTGCATCCACGTCCATTGGAGCAGTGCAGATGGGCTTGTCCCCATTCATAAGCGTAGCAGCTGCCATGTCACTCACAGTCATGCTGCACAACACAAGGAGCACACACAAGCAGATGTTTAGGGATCAGAAATGTTGGAAATGAAACCACCAACCATAGGCCCAGCGACAAAGGCTTCACTTACTTGTTAGCGTTGATAGATCCCTGCTGTCCTCCGCAGCTGGGCACTTGCACTGACGCCTGCACGTACTGTCCTTGCTGCTGCTGTGGAGCCGAACCAGCAGCAGCACCGGCAGCAGCACCAGCAGCAGTACCAGTAGAAGGCGGGGAAGCAAGTGTGACAGGAGGCGTGTAGGTCCCAACTTGGGTTAATTTCGGGTCTGGCTGCACCACAGATACGACTTCAAGCAGGGACCCAGTCACAGGGGAACTAGCAGGCAACCCTTGCTGATGATGCTCAAGCTGCTGCTGTAACTGCTGCTGGTTCTGCTGCTGGTGGTTCTGCTGCTGTGGCACCTGCTGAGAGTGGCCCTCCACAGCATGAGCAGGCGGTGGGAGAGCAAGCGGAGGCGGGTGGCCTCCAGCCACTGCCCCTGTGGGCACCGAAACCACAGAAACGACATCTGCAGGCACAGGAACTGCAGAAGCCACAGCCGTGGACACACAGACGACACCTGCGGGCACAGAAGCCGCACCAGCAGCAGAGGTCGCCAGCACAGCGTGAGACTGGTCCCCCTCCCTCCTCCTATCTCCCCCTCCCACCGTCCCACACTTCTCCCCTCCACTCCCCTCCACTCGCTCTCCCTCACCCCATGCACAAACGCCATTCTCCCGTCCTGCCGCATGCTCCGCCAATGCAGAAACAGTGTCGCCACCACTATTGCCACTCGATGCAGTGACTGTCCTGTCAGCAACCCCGCCACCCCCACTGTTAGCCCCCATCCCCCTACCTGCACTGGCGTCCATCGCACCAGTGCTAACGCCCCGCCCATCGTCCACCGACTCCATCGCTCTGACTCCATCACTCGTAAGACACCCATCTGCAGCAGAGGCGCCCTGCGTCCCACCACTGCCAACGGTGCCTGTGGTGGCCGTGGTGGCGGTGGTGGCAGTGGTGGCTGGGGTGGGGTCCCCCTCGTCAGCCACGAGGGAGGTTCCGGGCGTGGCCTTGTCGTTGAGCTTGCGTGCGCGGTTGCGGCCGCGGTGCAGGTGGCGCTCGCAGTACTTCTGGTCCGCCACCACCTGATGCACGAGAGCAGGACCGAAAATAGGAGAAAAAGGTGAGGACCGAATACGAAATCCCAATGCACGAATAGAAATGGTTTTTGGCGAACAGAAATCTCTTTGCGTGAAGGAGGAACTGTGATCGAGTGAATGAGCTCTGCCAGTGAAATGACATGGGCTTGGGTGTGCTCCTGGGGAGGTGAGAACGACGAGAAACGCACCTCTCGGGCGCATCTCCACTTCTTGCCGTCTGTGCGGCGGCACCTGAACGGCTCCAGATCCACTTGCATCGACGGCCCCCAGAACGCTGCACGCACACATGGAGTAACATTTGAAGCCGTCTTCATAAGCGCACAAATATCGCAATCGCGAAGCAGTAACGCGCTGCGAAGGGCGCAACTCGGAACAGCACACAGAGAAAAAAAAAAACGACCACGATGATCGCATAAGGCTGCGGTTAGAACTCCTGTTTCGGCACACATACATGGCATGAAGGCTCCCATAGGGTGGAATGCCTGAAGGCCGAACGCCAGCGGCGGCATGGACACGCGCAGGCGGGAAACGAGCTCCAGCGGGACAGGCGCTCCCGCGACGAGGTACTTGAATATGAGCGCCTGCTGCTCCAGCTCCTGCCACTGCGCCACCGTGAACGGCCCGCACGCGCCCGATTCCACTGCGAACGGAACGCGCAATTCCAGGAAAGTGAGTCAGACGGAAGGATCACGAGAAATTGCGAGCGAGGAAGACGAACGGTGGCATTAATCCGCACGGGAATCGTTGAGGGAGTATGGGAGTCGTACAACGGAGAGGACCGCGGGACGCTCCGCGGCTACTGCGTACCTTGCATGGGAGCCTGGCTTGGGACGTGAGAAAGCATTTGCGCCGCCTGCATAGGCGTCGCTTGCATTGGCGTCGCCTGCATCTGCGGCTGCGGCTGCGGCTGCGGCTGAGCCATCGGTTGAAATTGTGGCTGGGGTGGATGAGGGCTTATTTGCATCTGACCTCCACCAACAGACGCAACAGGATTGTACTGAGGAGGCGCTGCTGCTGCTGCTGGCGCTTGGTTCTGGTACTGAGGTGCCGGAACTTGAGAGGAATAGATAGGCTGCATCGGTTGCGGCTGCTGCTGCTGCAGTTGCTGCTGCTGCGGGTTGCTTTGAGACTGCAGGAATTGCTGTTGCGGCTGTGGTTGCGCTATCAGAGGTGGAGTGATTAATGGTTGAGGAGCCGCAGACTGTTGGGGGAGCGCCGTTGGCGCAGGTGCTGCCTGAGAGGGTTGCATCTGAGGCTGATGCATCTGGTAACTCGGTTGTGCTTGAGGCTGGTGAGCTGGCTGATACTGCTGTTGCTGCGGCTGCGGCTGCTGCTGGTATGCATTCGGTTGAGCCACAGGTGCTGGCTGCTGCTGCTGCTGGGCGTACAGATTTTGCTGCTGATACTGCAGCTGCGGCTGTTGTGGCTGCTGTGCCTGGAAGTTTGCCTGCGGCTGATGTTGCGACTGGGTCTGGTAGACTTGTTGCTGCTGCGGTTGTGGCTGCTGCTGAAGTTGCGATTGTGGCGGGTACGTTTGCTGGTGCGACTGATAAGCCTGCTGCTGCGGCTGAAATGATTGCTGCTGCGTCTGGAAAGTCTGCTGCTGTGGTTGTTGCGTCTGCTGATACATCACCGGCTGCTGGTACTGCTGGGCCTGCTGCAGAGTTACTTGCTGAGGCTGCTGCTGATATTGCATTTGCGAAGACTGATAGTTGCTTTGTGGCTGCTGTTGCTGTGCCGGATGCTGGGGTTGCTGAACAAGAGCTCGCTGCTGATTGGAGCTCTGCTGCTGGAAAGGCGGCTGACTAGACGCCATTTGCTGACTCAGAAAAGCAGGCTGCTGTGGCTGTTGCTGTTGCTGTTGCAGTTGCTGAGATTGGTTCTGCCAGTGCTGAACTGGTTGTGTTTGAGCTTGATTGGGAGCCATGAACCGTGTCGCTTGTTGCTGCTGCATAACACCCTTGAGTAGCTCGAACCTGTGGCTGAGAAGAAGGCTGCTGCTGCGTCTGACCTTGATGCTGCTGCTGCTGCTGATGTCAAGCTTCCGAAGATGCACCCTTGAGCCGGTATAGGCTTCTGGAAAAATCTCAAGTTAGGATGGTGTGCAACAACTTCAATCAGCAAACGAAGAGGAGTGCCATGAAACAGCCGTAGAGGTAATCTTTACCCTGTTTCAGCCCTGGGTGCCTGACAGGAAGGACGGATGTTGCCGTGTGATGTAGATGTTGGTTTGGAGCCAACACGTTGGCGAAGCACTGCTTTCTCGGCGCCTGAAAAGCCGAGCTTAGAATAGAAAAGGGATATCCTACAGCACGGGAAGTAACGACTACCTATAAACGCAATGCTCACCATATAGCTCGAATAAACGATGCGAGCGAGGGTAGCGCTTGAGAAACTACACTGCCTTCGCCCTAGTCGCAGCGGCGTTCAACATAACTATGGTAGTGATCATAATAAGTTACATATCTAACGACGGTTTGCAGAGTTAAAATTGTCAAAATGGAAGCTTGATCTCGTTCTGACATCCAGAAGTATTCAGCTGGTCAGCAGAGAAGACACCTGGTTGCAGGCAGAAACTATGAACGATACTAGCCTTTCTACGTTCTGATAGGTCATGCAAACGGTTCAGGAACAGACAGAACGGTCAGAAGAGGCATCAGGCGAGCGACTTGATCATGGAGCTAAGACCAGGGGTCCATGGCATTCACTGGTCACTTCTGCTTCTAAAATGTTGTAGTTTCGTACGCCTGCTGTCAGATGTGGCTCATTCCCGAAACTCCCTGTGCCTGCCGAAACTGCAGGAGATGGCAGAGGAGCATTCAGGCAAGGGGGGGGAGAATAAACAGCGTTGATCAGTCCATCTGGGTCTGGGGCGAAAGGTATTTCTGCTGCGTGAAGGGTGATGCAGCTGATGGGATGGCCTTGGGAATGTCGTCAGGGCTCTCGTGGGGCCAACATCAATGCTCGATCATGATTGATGATGTCCATCAATCAGAGCTCCTGATGAGGGATGCTGTCAGACAGCAAGAGCATCCCCTCCTGCCGAAGCTAGAGAAATTCCCACTGGCGGGAACGGTTGTCAGCAGCCAACGCAACCAGTGACCTGGGTCTGCTGATGCCGAGCCTCATGCAACTGGTTCGCTCTGACACCCTTGGAACAAGGTCCGGGAAGTGAGATATATCCGAACCAAGGGCACCGCCAGCTTTCGGCAAAATATATTCACCTGGACACGCGCCCAATACGCCTGACGACGGTTCGCCCAGGGAATTGGCGGGATGATAAGAAACGAGACTTGCCTCCACCACCTAATTGGCAGGGGAAGATCCCAAATCGAATGGGTTAAGAAACTCTACACCATACCTACTATCAAGTGAGAAAGTTGTCTATTATGATGGATAGTGGACTCCTAAAAGAGAACCTTTTGGATTTCACTTATAGGTGTGCCTAAGTGGTGATTCCACAAATTGTTTGTGAACAAAACAAGCAAGTGCTTGTGGTGCACTACCAATCTTAAATGGTGGACAGTATCAGAAAATTGAATGATGGTGATAAGGGGAGAGTACACACAATATAGCTAAGTGTTGTACCCTCTAAGAGGCTACCCTATACAGTCTATACAAACATAACAAATAGACATGTTTGACACACCCCCTAGACTGCATAGGGGAAAGTCCTAAACAAACAGCTCAGGGCGGCACTACTAGTCCAACCTCTGAGACAAGGGTCTGAGCGACCAGTCAGAAGGAGTACAGACAAGGCAAGCAAAGAGCAGGGCGGCACTACTAGTCCAGCCACTGGGAGAGGACACAAGTCCAGTCTGAGTATACATATAAAGGACAGTACAAAGTCAAGGTCCTAGCAAGTGAGAGGCTACAGGAACTAGACCAAGCTGTACACAGTGCCGCTGATGATCTTTAGGCGCAAGCGCCTTCGTAAAGATATCAGCCGTGTTGGCACCTGAGGCCAAGTGTACTACGCGAGCCTGACGTCGCTGCTGTAGCTCACGCAGGAGGAAGTACCGCAGCTGAATGTGCTTCGCTCTGCCCTCGAGTCGAGGCTCCTGACACAGGAGGATCATGGCCCTGTTGTCAGCGAACAGGACCGGGGCAGAGCTAGGTCGCTCACCTAAGTCAGTGAGCAAGAAGGTCAGCCAGCGGAGCTCCTGTGCCGCCATGGCACCGGCGTAGATCTCAGCCTCACAGCTGGACTGTGCAACAGACGAGGAGCGAGTAGCTCTCCACGAGACGGCACCTGAGCCAAGGCTGAAGCAGTAGCCCTGGGTAGACCTGAGTGTCTCAGCGTCGTCTGCCCACGAAGCGTCTGTGTGCCCAGTAAGGACCGCTGGCCTGCGTCCTCCTAGCACTAACCCCATGCCCGATGTACTAGCAAGATAACGCAGAACCCTCTTAGCGGCAGACCAGTGCTGCGGTCGGTGTCTGCCTGTGGCCACAAAGCGAGCCAGGATGCTGAGAGGGTATGCGAGATCTGGGTGAGTGCAAGTCATCAGGTACATGAGGCAACCCACCAGCTCTGCGTAGGGGCCGCTGGGCTCTACCAACTCCTCAGACACTGGAGCGGAGAGCCTGTGGTCTACAGGCAGAGGGGTGGGCTGTGCAGAGGAGAACTGAAGGCTGAACCTCTGAAGGACCTGGCGCACCAAGTGTGACTGAGTCAGGGTGATGGTGCGCGCAGCTCTGTCCCTGGAGATCTGCAAGCCAAGGTAACGGCGCAGTTCTCCAAGGTCAGTGCAGGTGTGTCTCTTCAGCAGCTCTGCCTTCACGGAGGCCAGCGCGTCCCTGTCTGCTGTGGCAAAGACCAGGTCGTCGACGTAGACGAGGATGTAGAACGGAGTCTGGCCAGCACGAACGAATAGTGAAGGGTCTGCAGAAGACGGAAAGAACTGCAGGTCAGCAAGCGTAGCACGCAGAGTGTCGTGCCACTCACGGGGAGCCTGGCGCAGGCCGTAGACGGGACGCCGCAGGAGCCACTGGGTCCCAGGAGGGAAGGTGCCAGTAAAGCCCGGAGGGCGGCGCAGGTAGACCTGCTCGTGTAGGCTGCCCTGAAGGAAGGCAGTGGAGAAGTCGAGAGAGTGAAGCTCGTAGTCACGCTGAGCAGCTAGGTGTAACAGAACCCGAAGAGTAGTCATATTCGGGGTCGGAGCGAAAGTCTGGAAGAAGTCCACCCCCTCGCGCTGACTGAAGCCTCTAGCCACATAGCGCGCCTTGAAGACAGGCGGCTCTACAGGAGGGCGCTTCACCTTGAAGAGCCAGCGGCCATCGACTACGTTCACCCCAGGTGGGGGAACTGCGTCGACGAAGGTGCCGGTGGATCTCCAAGATGCCATCTCCTGCTCCATGGCAGCTATCCACTGTGAGGCCCAGGGTCCCGAAGTCGCCTCAGCGTAAGTGCGAGGGGTCGGGATGTCAAAAGCGTCTGGGTCACCCTCAGGGACTAGCAGCATGGAACAGAGATGGGGAGCAGCCTCAGACAGGAAAGCAAGCTCGAACTGGCGGTCCTCCAGGACGTCACTGCCAAGGGCAGGAGCACCCCCGACAGACGGAGGACAGGCAGGGTCAGAGACCAGAGCGGTGGCGTAGTCAAGGCGGCGGGTAGAGGCGAAGTCAGCGACAGCAGCGACAAGAGCGTCAAGGCACGAGACTGGAACAGACGGGTCGGTAACGAGAGAGGCAAGGACCCGAGGAACGAGGGGACGAGCGGCACGAAGGTAGTCGGACAGCGGGGGGGGCGCAACAACAAGGGAGGACGGAGGAGGCGACGGCAGAAGGGGAGGACGAGACGCGTGTGAACGAAGCAACATAGGGTGGGAGCGCAAGACAGGCGAGGCAGGACGAGCACGGGAGGGACGGTGAGACCAGACGTGCGATGGAGGAGTCGGGTCAGGAGACAGGGGAGGGGACACAGGAGGTGAACGAGGGGGGAGACGGGCCGGGGACGAGTCCGGCGGAGGGAAAACAGGGCCGTAGACAGGAAGAGGAGGAGACGGTCGGGGAGGAACCGACGCAGGGTCGGGGGACGGAAGGCCGAGCAGGCGAAGGGCGGACACCGGCGGGGACTGCTGCTGCGGCGGCACAACGGCGACACCTGGACCGCAAGCTGCTCCTCGGCTACCACCGGCACGCTCCACACCCGCACCCCCAGAGGGACCACCCTCAGGGCGACCGGGACGAGCACCCCCAGAGTCAGCGAACGGGGGCTGCGACTGCGGCGGCGGCGGCGACGGCGACGGCTGCAGTGGCGGCAGGGACGGCGGAGGAGGGGACTGGGGAGGGGACACCTGGGGAGGGGCGGCCGGCGAGGACTGCACCGGAGGGCCACCAGAGTCAGAAGACTCCTCAACCGGGTCCACGGACGGAAGGGGGGTGACATGGGAGACACCAGAGGGGGCGGGACGGGGAGGAGGAGGAGGAGGGGCAGGGACTACCGGGGAAGGGGTGACCAGGAACAGGGGGGGGTAACCGGGGGACCACGGTGGGGGAAGCGGCGGTATTAGGAGACGGACTCGTCAAAGGTGACGTCACGAGAGTGAAAGAAGCGGTGAGACGGCGGGTGGTAAAAGTGCCAGTCGGACGCGTCAAGGGGAAAACCGAGGAAGACGCAGGGAAGGGTGCGGGCAGTGAGCTTGTCCGTGCCGGAGGCACGGACGTGAGCAAGGCAGCCCCAGACGTGGAACGCAGACGCGTCACCAGGAGACCCAGTCCACAGACGGGTCGGCGAAACCTGCGGCTGCTGAGGGTGCGGCCACAGGTTAAGCTGGTGAGAAGCGTAGCGCACAGCGAACGGCCACAGAAAATGGGGTGCACCGGCATGGACCATGGAGGTGCGAGCGACCTCCATGACCAAGCGGATGCGTCGCTCAGCGACCCCATTCTGCTGTGGGGAGTCCGGTAGGGTGAACGTCTGGGTGATGCCCTCCGCACGACAAAAGCGACCAAGGACACATGAGGCAAACTCGCCACCACGGTCTGAGTGAAGACGCAAGACAGGGAGACCGCGGTGGACACGCGCAGAGACAAGCCAGGGGATGAGGGCGCCAGGCACGTCGGCCTTGCGCTCCAGGGGAAAGACTGTGGTGTAACGAGTGAAGTCGTCGACAAGCACAAGGAAGTAGCGCTCGCGACGCGGCCCAGGGACGGGGGCGGGGCCCCAGACGTCCAGGTGCAGGGTCTGCAGCGGCGCGACGGTAGGGGGGAACGAGGAGGAGTGAGGGGCACGGCGAAGCCGACCCTCGACACAAGGCGTGCAAGGTGGAGCTGGGGAGGAGGGAAACGCGGGGAGTGAACCTGGGAGACCAAGGACAAGATCGTGCTGGGACATGTGACGCAGACGCGGGAGCGCAGGGTGACCTAGGCGGTGGTGCCACAGGAGGGTCGGGTGAGTGAGGGAGCGACAGGAGCAGGCAGCAGCAACCTGGGTAGACACAGCCACCTGAGGGGGCGCTCCAGCCGGGGGGGGCACGGTGTCCAGAGTGAACAGGCCGGACACCGGGTCCCGGGGGAACGTGGACAGGGGGGCACCAGTGGCGGCCTCGGTACAGACAGCATACCGCTCGTGACCAGGGAACGTAGTGGTGACGCCAAGGTCCTGGAGGCAGCCGACACCAACTAGGTTCCTGGAGAACGAGGGGATATGCAGACCTGTAAGAGAGCCCGAAGGAACCGCCGGACAGGGAAGGGTGGTGGAACTGCGGGCGACTACCGGACCGCCGGAGGGGTCAGCAAGAGAAACGGCAGCAGGAACAGGAAGCGGCGTCAGGGTGGTGGAGTCGCGGAAGAAACACCGAGAGGCGCCAGAGTCCAAGGTGAAGGAAAGCGA